TTCTTTAATAAAATCAACGCTATTTCCATATTTTAATATTAACGATACAATGAAATCGATTTCTTGTTTAGAAGTGCAAAACACGACAATAGACGACGACAATTCGGAGTACAAGCCACAACCGAATTCGAAACCGACAGGAACAACGACGGGGACTCTGCTTTTGGGCGCAATCGCCGTCGCAATTTATGCATACATCGCTTACTATTTTTTGTCGTCTTAGCTACTTTAAGACTATTAAAATAAGAACGCATCTAATTATTCTAAACATAGAAATTCATTATCGTCTTAATAACTTATGTAAAAATGAATAATTCTAAGGTTGCTCTAATACTCTTTATCTGCCTCCACCCTGTCCTTGTTTGTTAGTCGAAAACAAGACTGAACAGCAGCGTTATTTGTTAATATTGTTGAGGATCCCACTCGAGATACGTTATCTTCATCGTCAGAGCTTATCAAATTGAAACTCGAATCGATGCTACTCTCGACGAGCTAAGAAATATATCATTTTTCCTTCGAAATTCTATTTTAATTCCGTTTCTATTAGAACGTCCGTTGATTATTTAAAAATATAAGCTACGCGGCCGACTGAATATGTGGTCGCGGTAGATCCAATTTATTTTTCGATATCCCGACGGCCCGCGTTTAAATTAAAATTCGTGTCACGAAAATTTAATCACGCGGCGCTCGTCTCCAGACGCCCGATCAATAAAACAGATTATTTTTTAACACGAAATCGTCGTAGTCGCGTCCTGGAAACTGGTCACTGATAAACACAGCCTTCGTTCCACGTGTATATCGCAGGAAAATGACCTCCGATAAGAATTATACAATTTCTACGAATGTGTAGAGAATTCCCTCGCTTGCGATGGAAACGAGTTTTCTCGACGTCACCGTGACTGGCAGGTTTCGACTGTGACCGACACAGAAACCCTGAGAATCCATTCCCCCCGGCGGTACAGTTTTACAAGCCGCGGTTCGAAACGCGATCTCTCAACTCGCGCGTCGATTGAATTAATTCCGTTCCGAGTTCAAAACGCGAAATATTATCCGGCGAAATATACCTGCATTTTAACCGGAGTACTTTTGCTTGTACACAACGGGTCGACCGTGAAACGGGAGACTCGTCAAACTGAACCGAATAAATAGATATTCGGTGAATGAAAAATTATTACACGGTTGTTATTGCGACCTGTTTCCCCGGCTCGTTTGCCAACGCAATTACATAGGGGAATTTCGAGAATTCCGATCGATAGACCCGTTTAATTAATAGCGGTAACACGAAATCCAACGACAGCTGCATTTCAACCCTCGCAAATACACGCGGACCGACTATCCACGCACAATTTGTTCGCCCGCCACGAGTTCTGTTCGAGCGTAAATTGCTATTTTTCAAATATGAAAAAAATAATAATCGAACGCTACCGAAATCGCTGCTGAATCTTCCCTTCCCTCCCTTCCGCCTTCTCTCGCTCTATTCACGACACTCGTGCGTAGCTCGACTAACGTCGAATCGAGTTCACGAGGTGATACGTGATGTCAGCGTGCACCAGGCTTCGCGATAAAGCAGCGTTCACAATAGACGCGGTAGGAGTACATTACATGGTCAGCTACATGAATGCAGTTGCATGCGGCTAATGCAGGTCGGCATGCGATGATGCGATCAATACTCAAGGTGAGTTCGAATTTAGCCTGATTCGACGTCTCCATCCAGTTTCCCGCACCATTTATGTGATTAAGGTAGCTCTTAGTCAACTATGCAAGTTAAATGATAATTGAAAATAAACAGTTTGAATTACGAAATCTTTTCACTATTAAAAATCATATG